CTGGTACATGCTGCTCCCTCTGCCTGTAACACCCTAACTCTGGTTCCTGGCTAGTTCCTGCTTATCAGTCAGTGGGTGGCTTAGGTGATCTCTTCTCAGTGAGTCTCCTTATCCCAGTGACGGCTGGGGGTGGTGACCCCTCCCATGGATTCTTTCTCACTTCCTATTACAGATGTTTTCAAACATACACAGAAGTAGTAAGAACATCTAATGGGCCCCCCATGGAGCCATCACTCCATGTCCACACAGTCCATGCTTTTTAGTCTGCCTTCCCACCTACACTACAGGTTCCTGAGGCCAAGATGATACCTCCGACCCCACACCCTCTCAGGACATTAGTGCAGCTCTTGGCCCAGAGAAGACCCTCCATTCACTGTGGGTGGATGCCAGAAGTCCACATTTTTTGAGCACCTACCATAAAATCAGGCGCTCTTCTATGTGCTTACACGTCTTAGCTCACTGTATGCACATAGCTTCCCTGTGAGGCTCAGGCTACTCTTTCCTCCATTTCATAGGTTGGAAAACTAACGCTCAAAGGTTACACAGTTGGTCAGTGGTAGAAGCCAGCAAGGTAGTCTAACTCTGGAACAGAGCTGCCCACAGAAATAGAATGTGAGCCACATGTAGTATTTTAAATTTTCTGGTAGCCATATTAAAAAAAAATAGATGAAATTAATTTTAATAATATGTTGTATTTAACTCAGTGTATCTAAAATATCACTTTAACAGGTCATCACGTAAGACATTATTAATGAGATACTTTATAATCTGTTTTGCATACTAAGTCTTCAAAATCCTGTGGGTTATCTTACAGACTAGCCACGTGTCAAGGGCTCAGTAGCCACAGGCAACTATGCTGGCCAGCAGAGCTAGTGGTCAGCACCCTGGACAGCGGCCCCAGAGCCCATAGCTCACAACCACTTCTCTGCTTAAATGGATAAAGGAGGAAATGAATGAATACAAGTCCCCAGGACCCTTGGGCCTGATCTTTTCTTGCTAATTAATAAGGCTTAATACTTTATGGCTCTTTAGAGTCTCTCTGGCACTATTTTATCTGCCACAGAGATTATTAACCCTGTACCATGGATGAGGATTACGGGGTAAAGAGGGGCCAAACGCCTTTCTTTGACACATTGCTGCAGGTGGTAGAGCTGGGCCTTGAACCCACAACTTTGGACTCCAAGTTCTGTGCTCCGTGTGGTGTGGGACACAGCTGCCCCTTGAAGGAGGACTGTCTCCATCTGGCAAGGGAGGGTGCCTGTTTAGATCCCAGGCTGGCCTGGCTGTTGGGGATGGGAGTCCCATTTTGTTCAGGCCCTGGAGGAAGTGATGCCCTTGGTGAGGGGCAGGGCAGGCACAGGCTGAGGAAGCAGATGGGACCTGTGCCAGGTCCTCTGTGGGAAAGAACCTTGTCATTCTTCAGTCTCAGTTTGGCCACAAAAGGCTGAGAACAAATTGATGGCAATGGAGCCATAACTTACCTCTGAAGGCCTCTTTGTTCTTGGCAAAACAGAGGGGTCATTAGTAATGGTGAAAGCACTGGTGTGCAGACATAAATCCCCCCAGCTGCAGGGCTGATAAACAGCCCGGAGGGGATGGGGGCCTCAAGGAGCCAAGCAGGTTAACCGTGTGCCATGGATCACTCATGGGCTCAGACCTGTGTCCACCCACACGCAGACAGAGCCACCCCCTGCCCAAGCTCTGGAGGTGCCCAGAGACTCAGTCACCCAGAGTGGCCAACAGGACTCACACCTGGCTCCAGGAACACCTGAGACCCTCATTTTTCTTTCAAATGAAAATGGTTCCCTAGCATCTAGGGTGGGAGCAGGCTCCCATGGGGTACTCAGGGCCAGCTTGGGCCAGTCAGCATGAAGGTGCCCTTGTGGGCATTCCTTCTTTCTGCTTCAAGCCAAACAGACACTGGCTGAGCCTCCTAGGAAAGGGCTAAGACTTCACAGCACTGGAAAGGCAGGTGTGTGAGGCCAGATCCTTGGCAGACAAAGTGCTTTGCAACAGTGTCTACTGGTCAAGAGAAGTAGAGATGAGGCCATATCCTAGTTTTCTGCCTATCTGCTTCCCTGGAGACTTCATCCTCCTGCCTGTCTGCCTGCTCTAGGCTCACACTGAGGCTGGATTACACGGAGACCATGCCAGCCCAGGGCCAGGGAGAAGGGTGGGCAGGAACCGGTGGGTGGACAGCCAGGTCAGCCAGGTACTCAGGATGCAGAGGGAAGGAAAAGGGAAGGACTGCCCTCAAGCTGCCTAAAAAGAATTTGGGTGGGATTGTGGGTTGCATGGTGACAAACACCCATGAGAGAGTTAAAGAACCATCAAGGCCACCCTATACACGAGGTCCAAGTGCTATCTTAGCAAGGACGGCAAGTATTTGCCGCTGGTGCTGTGTGCCCTCTCTCTTTCTGCACCCATATCAGACTCTACCAATTGAATACCACACTGAGCCTGTTTGGCTTCAAGCAGCCATTACCAATCAATCACAGTTGGCATGTGAGAGGAAACCCATTTGTCATCCTTCTTAAAAGCCCTCAAAGCACATTTCTGCTGTGGTGGGAAGCCTAAAAAGATATGCTAAGTGCTGCAAGCCTTCTGGAAGTTTCTGCCTCCTGCCCCCCATCTTCACACACATTGCCTACCTGTAGTTTCACATCCTGGGTCTCCCTTCTCAACCTGCTATTCACACTTGGGGACCTGGCCCAGGAGAGTATGTCCCTGGAAATCTCAGGAGTAAGCTGCCACAGGCAATCGTCCCCAGCCCAGACACCAAAGGCTCAGCAGCTCTGCCCTCCTACCTCCTGCTGCTAGGGGAGGGGGTGAGGAAGGAGAGCTGGCTAGGGCCATCTTTAAGGGCTGGCGAGGGCCTGGGGTTCTGAGGCTGGTGGCCTGGCACCCAGCAGGAACTTGGAATGGACAAATACCCTGGAGGATGGCCTCTCAGTGTCACACAGGAATTTCCAGTCTGGTCATGACCACAGGCTAGCTCCTGGCTCCTTGCTCCCCACCTTCATCCAGGCTGGGGTATGTCTGAAACCAGCCCACAGGCAGTGAGATGAGGAGACAATCCCCCACCCAGCCAGGTGTCCCTTTATGCTGCCACCTTATCCTGGTGCCTCAACTCTATCACTCTTGGGGCTCACTGGTGTTCCCTTAGGTCTCCAGCACAAGCCCCTTGTCCCTTGTCCCTGGGGGCACTTGGTTTGCTTCCCAAATTGAAAAAATCATGAAGGAAACCAGCACCAGCATGGGTCTCCCTCCTCCTCTGCTCAGCAGGAGAGGGCCCCCTAATTCCCGGGGAACTCTGCCTTCCTGCAGAATGGCTTCCTTCCTTCCTAGGACTAGTTTTCCCACACCCTAGCCTAAGGACCCTCTGCATCTGGGGAGCTGTGAGAAAGGACTATTCTGGGGTCCCACCCTGGTTTCACAGAATGAGAATCTCTGTGGTTGCCAAGGACTCTGCATTTTTGGTAGGAGCTCCAGGTGATTCTTGGGCATACTGGAATTTGAAAACCCATGACCCTAGAATCACATTCCTTCTCTCCTCCCTTCCTTCATTCCACAAGTACACATTGGGGTTTACTTTGCGGAGTCCTGTGCTGGGCACCAGAATGAGGAGGAAATGGGGTTGGGGAGGAGAGGCCTGAACACTTGCTGCTGCTGCTGACCACATGAGCTGGTCTGGCATTTGCTTTGGGGCCTGGGGTACCCTGGGCTTAAAGACACGATAGGAGTCATGCCGGCAGCTGCAGGTCCCAGGGAGCCCACAATACTCCTGATTTCCTGCATCCCTAAGGAGGGGGAGGGTCTTCCTCCCACCAGCTAACTCCCAGCTTCCCAAGGTTATTATCAGCTGCCAGCAATAATGTTATTATAACAACAATAAGTAACACGTATAAAGGAACTTACATCCATGAATTAGGTTCTCTACATATATTAAGTCTTCTGATCCTCAATCACCCAAGATAGTAAGCATTTCTTATTGTTCTATACCTCTATACTGAGGTATAGAGACCCACCTGAGGCAATATGCTCACAAGACTCCATCGTCTATGTTCTTGATCATTATACCTTGGTGTCTTTTGAGCTTTAGGGGAAAAAATGTCCCCCAAATGTCAATCCCTGTTGTGGGGGTGTGGTCGGGAGAGGGGTAGACACAAGCCTGGTGGCTTGCCATCCTCCTGGCCATCAGTCTGGCCTACCCAGATGCACGAGGCTGACGCTTCACTGACTAGGGGGCAGGGCGGGAGGCCACCTGTGGGGGGGTGGGTAGGAGCATGGGGACAGAGCCAGTCTGTGGGTGAGTGAGCAGTCCTCATGGGCCTCTCACCGACTCCCTCTCTCCAAAGCCACCCAGCCCTGGGACAGCCAAATGGAGCTACTTGGTCCATCTTTAGGTAGGGATGTGGGGTCAGGGATCCCATCAGCCAGAACCTTCTCTGCAGCCAGGCACTATTCTGCCTAACCAAGAGATGGGGCGGGAGAGGAGGGAGCTCTGTGCATCCCCTGCAGCACTCCTGATAAGACAAGAACTCCTAATGGTCAGAAATGTGAAAAGAGCATGAAATCAGGTGAAACTGCAGGTCTATTCATCCTAACATGATGCACAAACTGCCACCTTTTCATCAAGTCAGAAAAGCAAAACAAACACCCACAGCACTGAAGGAGGTAGATGGGAGTCCCCCCCAGTGACCCAGGCTCAGAAACCCAAGGTGCTCAGATGCCTCGGACCTTGGACAGTGCCGCATGCTCCTGTCCCCCAACACCACCCAAGCAGCCCCCATCATCTGAGCCTCAGTCCCCAGCTCCTCTCCTCCTCCCCAGCACCTCCCTCCTTCATCCACTTCATCCCCTTCCGAGGCCTTCTGCCCAGGGTTGTCCCTGGGGCTGGTCCCCTCATACCACTGTCCACACCCCCAGACCTCTGCTCAGCCCTGCAGAGCCTGACACTCCTGCAGTGGGCATGGGGGGCCAGGGCGCCGAGCCCTTACCTGAGACGATGGTGTAGCCAATCCCCCGGGGACGTCCTTTATCCTGGTCGATGGCGGTGATAACGCGCACCGTTGTGCCCTGGGTGGGAGAGAGGAGGGACCTGATTTGGCTGCCCAGCCCCTGGGGGGCCATCTTTCTTTATGGCTCTCTTGGCACCTGCAGCTTCCCTCCCCAGGTAGTGGAGTCCCTGCCACCAGGCCAGCTTAGGAAGTAGCTACTGAGGGCTAGGGTCTCAGCTGTCCCCATCAACCCAGGGACATAACACTGAGGCCTCGGCAAATAGCTCGGAGTCCCTTGGAGAAGCCCGATCTTGCTGATGCTCTCATTCCCCCTTCCCCTCCCCATCTCCCCTCATCTGGTGTAACCACCCAGGAAAGAGGAAAAACAAGCTGGGGGACAAGAGATCTGGTCTCTATTTCAACCACCCGTCAAATTGCTGTGTGACCTCAGGAAGGTTGCTGTACCTTTCTGATCTCAGTGTGCCCTACCTTAATATGAATAACAACAAAAACCCTGGGACCCTGCTTTCACTAGGACTTGAGTAAAGGAGAACATTATGGATCAGTCACTCTACTAATGAATGTATCATAAATCCTGAAAGTGAGTATGCCCAGGGATGACCCCTGAGGCCACCATGGCCCTGTGAACCATGCCCTATCCAGCACAGCAACAGCAGCTCCTGCCTCAGGTGACTCTGTCCCACATCCTATTCCTTCTCCCTGCAGCACTGGGGGAGAAGGGGCCAGGATCTGGGACTACCAGGATGGGGATTCAGGGGTCCCTGCTCTTAGGGCACACACAGCCTGTGGGGAGGGGTCAAGGACAGATTCACAGACACTGCTATACACATCTAAGAGTGCTCAGATGCAGAAATGTACCCCGAAGTGTAGAAGTCCACCTGGAGGACCTGGCAAGGGGTTGTATAGACAGCAACATTGAGGATGGGTCATGAAGAAGGAGTGGGAGTTTGCCAGGGAGAGAAGTTGATACAGAAGGCAAAAGATAGAGCACAGGCAGGGACTTGGGGGCATAAGACTCTCCAGGAAGGGACCCTGGCATGAAAGGGCACATTCAAATATCAGCTGATGGACTGGTGGTTGATTGAATAAATGGATGCACAGAAGAGGATTCTGACATCACCACTGCCGCTGCCACCACCTGCTGAGTCGCTCCTTGCCCACGGTGACCTTCACCTTACTCTCCAGCCCTATCACACCATTGTCTGGCCAGCCAAGCCTGTCCACCTGCCTGCCTGAAGTTCTGGCTTGGGCTGCAGTTTCCCCTGGTTGATAACCAGCAGGACAGCCCGGTCCCCATCCCCTAGGGAAATATCAACCCTGGCATTTACATGTCTAATGACGATCTCTTGTGGCCTTGATAGGCTGCCTCTCACCCATTTGCTGTCCATCAGCTAGAGGGTGAAGTCTGCTGGCTGTACCCTCCACCGCTACCTGAGCACCTCCTCCTATGGAGATAGTCTTGTTCTCTGACCTATAGGCCCTCTGATCAGTAGGGTGGGGCCCTGGGGGCAAGACACACAGGGGCACCCCCACCTCACCCTCCCAGAGCAGGGCTGTCCCCGTGCGGCTGTCACTCCATCCTCTCCCAGGCCCAGGAACACCTCTAGCTTGGGCTGAGGGAAGGTGAGAATGTTCCAGGAGAAATGGTTCCCGCAGAAACATGGACACAGCCCTGAGGCCAGGGCCACGCAGAAAGCAGGTCTGGCTCCCTCCTTGGGGCCCCTTCCCCCAGGGAGACAGGAGCTCAGGCTACATCCCTTGGGAGAATAGACTGTTACAAAATCAGAGAAAGACACCATTGAACGAGCCTCTCCCCAAGCGGGTTCTGAGGACCTGAACTGTGGCCAGCTTCGAGGGCCCTGTTCTTTCCCGAGCACCCCCTCTGTGCCCGGTGCTACTGCAAATGCCTTCTATGTACTAACTCATTCCACCCTCACACCTACCCCAGAAGCCCCGTCTTCTAGACGAGGAAACTGAGGAATTCGAGTTAAGTGGCCTTGCCAAGGTCCCACTGCAAGGAAGGAATGGTGAAGCCAGGGTTCAAAGTCAGGTACTTTGGTTCCAAAACGCTCCTGCCCACCAAGCGATGCCGCTCCCTCCCAGGTTCTGTTATAATAACGGTAACTGTCATTTACGAATGTCCTTGCTATGTAGCAGGCACTAATCTAAGCACTTCACAAGCATGAGCTCATGTGAAATTTGGGACAACTTACATATCCCACCATTCCCTTGGGCTTCGGTGTAGTAAGGGCTCCTCAAAGTAGTGAAGTAATTTAAAACAAAACAAAACAAGACCACAGCAACCCTGTTAACCTTTGTTCTCCTGGGCTTTCTGATCTGATGACAGACTCTTCCCCTGTAATATCTGCTAACGGCCCCAGACCCAGGCATCTGTGGAGGGTCACTGCAGGGTCTGTTCTAACAGCTTCCCCCAATGTCACCCCACAGAGGGCTCTTTTTTGGGGGGGTCTACCCCTCCAGGAGCCACTCCTCACATAGGAGAAGCCTGGGTTTGCCCCCAGGATAAGGTCCCCACAGCGTGGGACTCTGGTGTGAGGCTCGGGTGCCAGGACATGGGGACAACTCCCTCTTCTAGAGCCCCATCTGGCCTGGTCCCGGAAAGTGTCTCAGTTTGAGGGTCCCCAGTCAGTCCCTGGTCTGCTGAGGGCAGGGACAAGCCTGCCAGTGTAACTGGGTCCAGAGCCTCCAGAGCACCTTTCCAGAAAGTCACTAAACAGTAAACCTCCAGGAGCAGCTGCATGGCCCCAGGCATACAACCCAGGAGTGGCTGTGCTGAGCTGGGCCTATAGACAAGGACAACTACAAGGACAAGTACACCCCAGGAGGTCTGGAAGGAGGGGGCAGCAGTGGCCTATGCAAAGGTGGGCCCTGGTGGCCAAAGCACCCTCAGGTCTCAGAGCCTTGTGAGCATCTCGCCATGGGCACCCCCACCGTGGGCTACCTGGAGGCTCGTGGGCAGGTGGGGCTCAGAGGGGGCCATTAGGGCAATCGAGGACGGAAGGACAGGGAGGCTGGCTCTCCCCAGGAAGAGCCACCCTGAGCTTCTGGGAAGTGAGAGCCAACAGGCTCCTGACAAAGTTTGGGGTTTCATCTTTTTTTGGGTAAATAAATCCATTTTTAATAAAACCCTGAGCTTTTAATACAAGTGCAGCCACAAAGACTGGAAATGTTATAAGAAGGAATTAACGGGGAGGAATGGGGGCTCTTGGGATCCCACAGCTCTTGTTTCAGGGTCTTAGTAATTATATTTTCAATATACTGAAACTTATTTCCAAAGATGAGGGAATGGAGAAGCAGGCCCAGAGCCAGGCCCCTTACTGGCTGGCTTTCCAGATCGGGGTGGGGGTGGGGGTACGCACCAGCATGTGGCTGGGAGAGCAGGTGGACAGGCCCAGGAGGCTCGGAGAAGGGTCTACCCTGCCACGGGGCTCCTCCCGTCACAGGAACCCACATTGTAAGGAAATGAGGCACCCCCCCCCAAGAGGCTAAAGGTGCACAGGCCTCCAGGGTCCCAGCTCCTTGTGGTGGGAAGAGCAGTATGTTGAGGGGGTTAGGGGTTTCTGTCTAGGCTCAAATCCTTTGAGTGAGTTACTTGATCTCTCACTAGCTTGTTTTCCCCATCTATAAAATGGGTATAACAGCCCCCACTCCTCAGCAACTGATAGGTGTACAGTGCTTAGAACCACACCCAGTACATAGCAAATGCTATAAAAGTGACTGTTGGGGCGCCTGGGTGGCTCAGTCGTTAAGCATCTGCCTTCGGCTCAGGTCATGATCCCAGGGTCCTGGGATCGAGTCCCACATTGGGCTCCCTGCTCTACAGGAAGCCTGCTTCTCCCTCTCCCACTCCCCCTGTTGTGTTCCTGCTCTCGCTATGTCTCTCTCTGTCAAAAAAATAAATAATAAAATCTTTAAAAAAAAAAAAAAGTGACTGTCACCGTTCAAGCATCTGATGAAAGCTCAGGTGCCTCTTCCGAGACAATGCATGCCGATGCTGTGCCCCATAGTTTCAGCACGTTTGGACTCCCTAGCACCCCAGATTCATAATCCGTACCCTGGAGCGAAGGCGTCTTCTGGGTGTTAGAGAGCGAGAACAGCTAACAGCCCAGGAAGGGCTAGCACTCGGTAAGTACCTACTCTGTACCAAGCACTGTGCTTGAGAGGACCCAACATAAGGTCCTCTCAAGTTTTCCTCACAAGCCCCAACAAGGGGGAGTGCGGGAGGAAACAGGCTCAGAAGCTTCCAGAACTGGCTTCAAGTCACAAGGTGTGGTGAGTGGGTGGGGCGAGGGTGACTGGGGAACGGAGGCCTGTGCTGGGGTGGGTCTGGGAGACTCCACTGCTCTGTGGCAGAGGGGACAGGCCCAGGGCTTGGCGCCCAGTAAGGTGTGCCGAAGACAGGGGTGGGCGAGGGGTGCGAGGCAGCCCCGGCCTCTGAGGTCTGGGTACTGGTGAGGAAGTCCAGGCAGATTTGAGAGGAGCTGAGACTCCTCTAGAAGGAGCTTGTGTCTCCCCTTCTGTGGCCTGCCTTTCCCAGAGGAGCCTGCCAGGACAGGAGCTAGAGCGGGAACCCACGGGGCGGTGGGGGCCCCAGGGGTCTGGCCCATGTCTCTCTCCTGGGACCGCCTTCCCCATTTCCATGACAGGATTAAGGACTGAAAAGGTGGACGGCAGTCTGCTCCGGGAGAGGGAGGTGCCTGTGGGGGGTGGGCGTGGGGGCTGGAGGGGACTTCCGACAAGAGCTGCCACAGCAGATTCTGAGGCAGAAAATCCTATTTCTCAGGCCTTAATTCCAGTCAATTCCAGTCAAAGGGCTGATAGGCATCAGCTGGCAGTAATTTGTGCAGTTTATCTGCTCTTTTCACCTTCTATCGGTCCTTCACTGACGGGCAGGCCGACATGCCGCTGCTCGAGTGAGGAAATTAAAAGTTGATGCAATAATCCCAAATAAGAAGGATTTTATTAGGTAATATATACACTTTAGATGAGGCATGCTGGCCCGATACACTGATAGAGAGAGGCATACATGCTGGGAGCCGCAGATAAAGAGGAAGGGCGAGGCAGAGTGGGCAAGGGTCCGACCGGAGGCCCCGGGCTGGCAGCGGCCAGGCTGGGAGCGGGGACGCCTGGGTCCTCGGGGCGAGGAAGCTGAACAGGCCACGGTGCTCCTCGGCCCTGGCCGGCCTGGGAAGTACGGAGTTAAGTCAGGGTTCCACACTGTAAAGCGACATGCAGGGACTGGATCAAGGCATGGAAACCGATTAGAAGCCTGGAAAAATCAGGCTTGGAGCATAAGGGAATTGGCCTGCAGCAGAAAGAGCTGTGCTAGAGACATGGAAATGGGAGCACTCCTTTCAAGTGCGGGGGCAGGGAGGAAAGGCAGAGCTGTGTGCACGTGAGATAATTCTGTGGGCGCCCTGGGGGGAGTCCGACACCTCCCAGTTACTTCCTTGTCTGGCTCCTCCGAGCCCAGTCGTGACCCAAGTGGTGGGGCTCAGACCTGCCCCCTGGGAGCTCTCGAGGGGTTGGCTTTAGCAGTCTCACAGCGCCCAAGGGACAACCGACTCATAACCACTGCGAGTGAATGCCTTGCTGGGGACTCTACACGAGCATGAGCATGCGATCTCCACTCCTTAAAACCCTCAGGGTAATGGAGGCCCTGCTGCAGACCGTACCAGTCCGTTTCCCAATGAGGCAGCGGTCCACAGTGTGTGGGATTTGGCCAAGGCGAGTGCAGGGACCTGCTCCGAGTTTCTCTGGCTACGTGGCCACCATAATGTCCTCACTTCAATCAACAAGTTAGCTTTGAGCACCTTCTCTGCACTCAGCCCTGGGCCCGATGTTCTGGGAGACCAGGTCCCAGAGACTCCGGCTCCTCGATTACCAGAAGCTCCAAAATAACCCACCCGCACATTGGTGAGCATCATAGGTGCAACTATAATTCAGTAGTAAATTATGCAAGCCAGGGAGAGTCCACTCTACCAGAGCTGAGGGGAAAGAAATGGCTGGCTATGTCTTTGGGCTGGTGGGGATGAAGCCAAGGGAAAAAATTCTAAGAAAGGTGGCCAGTAAGCTGGGAACCAACAGATGGGCAGATTTTGGATTGGTGACAGGAACAGGCATGAGGGTGATGAGGATGGTAGGATGGTGAGAGGACTGGTCTGACCAGGGCATTGTTCCTTTGATTGTTCGTTCGTTCGTTCATTCATTCATTCATTCATTCCTTCATTCCACAAACACATCCTTAGCACCCCTGATGTGCTATGCCCACAGCAGACCCCATCCCTGCTGAACTATGCATCCGGTCCAGCAGGGAAACAGAGGCTGAGCAAGCTGTCCAAAGGTGCTGAGTGCTAAGAAGGGGATGTCCAGGGGCCAGGGGCAGTTGGAAGGCCCCACCTCCTCTGAAAGGTCAGGGAAGGCCTCCCTGGGCTGAGAAGATGTGGGCGTAGCAAAGAGATTTTTGAAGGAGATAGCCTTTAGTCTCAAAAGCCAGAGGACCTGCTGTCCATGGACCACTAAGAAAGAGCAGATTAGGGTAGGGGGCATTGAGATGTCCCCCTCTACCCTAAATTCAGCTTCAGACACCTGCAACAGGAGACCAGTGGGCATCTTGCTTGTTAGATCTTCCAGCCCACACCTGGCCCCGATAAGGAAGTGGCTACCCCCAGATACCTGGAGACGGAAGCAGAGTGCTTTGAGGATGCCATGGTCAGGATGGACCACAGTCTCCAAACTGGAGGTCGGCCTTCCCTGGCCTGTGGTGGCCTACAGGTACATCTGCACCCTGGCCAAGGGAAGCCTGTCTCGCACTCATACCTAATTCTGTGAGCCCATGCAGGTGGGGGCCCTAACACCCACATGTTCAGGTGGGTGCCCTACTTGGCTCTCAATGTTTTGCGTCCTTCCTCTAAGCACGCTGAGTTCCCTCAAAAGGAAGGGCACGTTTTTCTTTCCATAAGAGCGGCCCCCCAAGCTGCATGTCCAGGGATTGTCGCTGCCCAGAGAAGCCAGCTTTTCTTAATTTAGCCGCGCAGTGTGTGTGTGCTTTATTCTAGCTTGTACAGAAGCATGGATGGCTACCAGACAAAGGCTGGGTGAGCCAAGCTGCCCACCCCCAGCCCCTGCCAAGCGGGCAGTAGCATGCTTGGTTCTTTAAGACCCCTGGTCACAACTGACTGGACCAGAGGCAGACACAGGGCCTAAGGGCAGCCAATTTATAGCCTGGCTGGAGCTCTGTGACCTTGCGACATGGCACAAAATCAGGAGCACAACCAATCAGATGCCTCTTTTGAAAACGTGGGACTTCAGAAATCCAAAGATGGAGCAGTTAGAGGGGCAGCTGGAGCTGTGTGCTCTCTGAGAAGAGCCAAGCCCGAGAGGACCGGGGAGTGGAGAGCACGGTGCTTCCATCTTGGGCAGAGCTAGTTGGCTGAGAGAGGCAGACTGACCCATGGGGAATGAGGCTGAGCCCAAATGTGATTTGGTAAGCCTGGCTGAGTCCAAGTCTGCTCTCCAGACCAGGCTGGTTCCACAGGCGTCCCTCTCATCCCACATCAATCTTTCTGAACTGCCCCCCTTAGTTCACACTAGTAAGTCTTTGTGTTTTTACCCCTTGGAGTTCTCTGGGGATGAAGTGAGAGGGTGAGGACATGGGACGTGGTGGTGTGGTATGAAGAGGAGGTTGGGCTTTCACTGGGCTAAGACACCCAACACTGACATGCACAGGGATTGAGGGGAGTAAGAAACGCCAAGGAAGAGCCTGCCTGGCCAAACAGGGCCCCCATCCCTAAGAGAAGCTCAGAGGGGAGTCCCACGAGGGCCAGAGAGCGTCTTACCGGAGGAGAATGCTCGTAGATGTTAGTGCTGTAAGGCAGGTTGATGAAGATGGGGTCCATGTCCTGGACATCTGTGATGATGATGGCTAAGTTGGCCAGGGTGGACAGAGGCCTGGTCTTGTCTTGATCCTTAGAGGACAAAGAATACACAGCCTGAGGGGGTTACACTATTGACATGCACACATGCGTGCGCGCACACACACACACACACACATCTGAACACATATGACACCCATGTGCACAAACATGTGTGCCCATGGATGCAAGTGCTCCGGGGGAGCACTTAGTACACAGAAGTTCGAGAACTCGAAGAACCCACAGTGATCTTTGACCTGTGCAGGAAAACATAAACAGGGCCCCCCAGTCCCGGCAGAAGGTGGCTTGTGCAATGTCACAAAGCAGGGCTGGATAGAGCCAGATCTCCTGCCCCCAGCCCAGCCTCAGCCTGATCATCCCGGACATGCCATGGGTGGGATGACTGGCTTGGGGTCAAGAGATGGTGCTGTCCTCAGCAACTTCTCTTGATTCAGAGGGCCACTGGCCCTCGCCATACCCACTTCCTGCCCCCTCTCATCCCGGGGCAGCAAGGGAATGACCAGGCTGGTGTTCCTCAGAACAAAGGCCCTCTGACAGCAGAGGGGGCCACTCTGAGACCTGCACCCCTGCCCTGCACCCAAGGTTTACTGGTCAAGCAAGTTTTCTGGCAGAACCAGCAGGGGGAGCTCCAGGGCCTGTGACATTTGGGGAACTCCAGGAAGAAATCCTGAGAGGTCATGTGGGCCTCCGCCTGGGGCCAGGCAGGCAATGTTTAAACCCTCCTAGTCAGTTGGAAATTTAGCCTTAGGAAAGCTCGTCAAGAAAGGAAACCAGAAACACAGCTTCCATAGCCCTAACGTACACAGCCCACCATGATAAACTGTTTAAATAGCCCTCTGTTGTTGAATGACAATAACCCATGGGAATAGACTCTGAGCTGAGAGCAGATTACGTAGCATGCACGGTGCCAGCACCTGTTTGCTTCTGTGGATACCACGTGCCCAGTATTCAGATATATTAACGGAGACTCAGAGAGGTTATTCAGATACGAGACTCACAGAGGTAACTTGCCCAGAGTCACACAGTGGGTAAGTGTGTAGCCAGGACTCAACTCAGATCCTTCTGCAATGAAAACCTGCCCTAACTGCTTTGATCTGGGGCCCTAACATAAGCTCAGGCCCTGACTTGCTGGGTTGCTTCGAATAGATCCTCTTCCCTCTTGGGGTCTCAATTTCCTTCTCTGTGAGATGAAGGGGCTCAATGCAAGGACCTCCATGGACCCGTGGGCCTGTAAATTCTCTGGTCTTGGATTTGAAGAGTGACTGCACTCTGATTAGGTCTTCCTTGGTCTGGGGGGGACCAGAGCGATGCAAAGCATTCTTCCCATTACAACAAGCCTAGAGCCTGTTCCTGCCCTCCGGATAGAGAAGTGCAGCAGAGCCTTTGGGAAGGGAAGGCAGATTGTCCTAAGAGTCCTCAGGGGCAGCCATGGAGAGGGCAAGGGACTTCGGGGTGAGGACTAGGTACAGCAGGGTGGAGGAGGTCTGGATGCAGGAAGAGCCACTGGGGAGACAGCCTCTCGGGCTCCAAGACAATGGAAACCCACGGCCCAGGCTTGGGGACTGCCCCTAGTGTGAGAGCTCTTGGTCAGGGACCTGAACAACCAGGCAGACAGGGCCAGAGTAGGAGGAACAGAAGTCCCTTGACCTTCTGAGCAGGGGAGGCCAGTGGTTGTCATTTGCCATTACCAGGCTTTGCGTGTAGGTGGCTTTGTCCAGCCTGGCACCTGCCCTCCCTGTCCCACAGTCTCAGGGCCACAGCCCTGCTCCTGCCACAGATCCCCGCATCCCAGCTTACCTCGGACTCTGGGGCTGGGGAAAGGGGATGGCAGTGGACATACATGGCTGGGCAGGCACCTCGCCAGGCTCCCAGCTAGCACTCTCAACAGCCGCTCCCCGGGAAGTCCTCCCATTTCCCCACCTGCTGCCCACCCAGGGGTGGCTGGGAGCCCACACTGCTCCCTGCGATGCCCCACAGGAGAATCTCCTTGGGGAAACGTCCAGCAGCCAAGGGCACAGCACCAGGCCTGAGGGGGGCCGCGCTTCAGGTGGGGGAGCCATCCGTACAGAAGGGCCCCTCCTGTTCCGCAGCTTCCAGGCCTTCTCGCCAGCAAGATTAACAGCAATTTAACTGTATTCACCATCTCAGCTGGAGCCCAGGCCTCTTGACAGGTCCGGCCACCCAGGTTCTTGCCTGTGCCCGGCTCTGGTCTCTTCCCTGCCCGCCCAAAGCCATTTTCAGGGAAGATGGAAATTACTCCACAGGGACAGGTGCATACAAGAAAGAGAGCAAGCATCTGTGTGTTTCTGGGCCCGGCGTGTGCAAATGGAGGGCAGCTGGGGGGGCACCACGGCTGTGTGTGGGTGCGAGGGGGCACAGGTGTGTGCAGAGAGCGGGTTCTGGTCTTGCACACCCCCTTGATCCCAGAAGTCAGGTTTACGAAGAGCAGGACACATGACCTCCCGGGGGAACCCACACTTAACCAGGGGAGAAGGAAAGAATGTGAATGGCACCCGCAGTGGCCTCCCCAGGAAAAGCGCACATTTCCTGGCTCCTGGGGACTCTCTACACCTTGCCCAAGCCCGGGGAAACCCCATCTTTCAAACCGGACCCTTGGCCTAGTCCATGTGCCTTACCCCAGGATCTGGGTTCTGTGACCTGCAGTGCAGGTCTGAGCCCCCAGTGCAGCCGTGACATGGGGCCAGGGGGGATGCTGGGGGTCAGGCAAATGGGTCCTGACGGGTCAAGAGGGACTCCTGTAACTTGTTTCACACTCGGCCTGAGCTTTGTAAACAGAAATCTTAGGGACAAGAGGCCAGCTCTCGCCCTGCTGCCTGCTGAAGGCTTCAGCTTGACCTGGAAACAGAGGGAGGAGCCCACAGGAGAGGAGTGCAGGGCCGGGAGGCTGCTCGGGGTTTGGTCTGCCTGTCCCCCAGGCCCTTGCGACCAGCAGGCCACAGAAGCCAAGCGGCTGTGATGATCTGGAAACTCAGAAACTCCTGGCCATGGGGCACGGGACTGCTGTCAGACAAACTGCGTTTGTGTTCTTGCTCCCCACGACTCATCGGCGTGTGAGTCTCAACGGTGTCAGCCATAAAATGGGACAATTACTCCCTTCTCTCTCCTCCCTCTCCAGCCTGACCAATCCCGGAATTCCCAGGACCCAGCACGGTGCTTGGTGCACACGGGAGGGCCCTCCTGTGTAAGCGTCACCACTCGGGAGCAGTGGCCAGGATGCCCGGACCCTCTGTTGCCTGCGTGTAGGGTGGTGTCAGGACACTGCTGGGCTGCCACCCCTGTCTGAGGTTCCAGAGAGCGAGGGGACACCCCACACTGTGAACGTGCTGCAGGGTTTCAGTGCAGGCTCTGGAGTGCAGCGGCTGGGTCACCATGGGCAATGACCTGAATTACTCCTGGGCCTCAGTTTCCTCATCTGTAGAATGGGTAACTTAATATTACGTAGGAGATAGGGCTGCCGTGGGGTTTAATGGAGACGATCCATCTGAGTGCTCGGCACAGCACTGCTCCCGTTCTTATTGTGACTATTGCCAGCATCGCTATTACAGAGCCTGAACCAGCAGGAAGGACGCTGGTGTCCCGTTGCTCTCTCCCAGGGCGGGAGGAGGCAGACCTCCGGGGCGGGACTCACCGTGGCATTGACGGTGAGCTGGTAGGCCTGCGTGGTCTCGTAGTCCAGCTCCCGGACCACTGTGACAATGCCGCGGGCGCTGTCGATGGCGAAGAACGGGGAGGGGGGCTGGAAGGAGTAGAGGACGCTGCCCCCTGCACCCAGGTCGGGGTCTGTGGCGTTCACGATGAAGATGGGCGTCCCCACCGGCGTGTTCTGGGGGTGAAGAAAAGCAAACAAAAGGGTGAGTGGTGCTCAGAGCAGCTAACTTTGTCGGTGACTATTCCCCCAAAGCCCATTAACCATGTCCCTCCAGCCAACCAGACCTGCGGCTTTGTCATTTTTATTCTAAGAGGGTTGAGAGGAATTTAAAATGCAGTATCTATTTTTTTTTCCCTTTTTTTGATGGCCTCCTGGTGGCTATAACAACACCAGTTCTAAAGATGATCTGCTCATCCTGGCGTTCTGGATGAGGGCCTTTTGGTCCCCAAGCCCCTATTTCTTGGCGGTGTTTCTTCCTCTGTGGAATGCCCCTGGGCTGCCCATGCCTCAGGGTTGGGGCAGCTCTGGGGGGCCCCCGGGAGTCTGCGTGTCGGGGAGCTGAGAGGTGTGTGCCGCAGGCAGGTGGCAGGGGGCCTTGAGGGCTTTGCCTGGCCCCACAGAGGTTCCTTGGATTGCCCTGGGGAAGGGCATCCACATGCCATCCCGGGTCGCAGCAGCCTGCCACGAGAGGCCCACAAGACCCACTCGAATGGTACCACCTCCTGGGAGCCTACCATGATTCCCTCCGCTACACACTGTGTATAGACCCCTGCTCTTTTCTGACTTGGGGTCTCTGGTTAAATGTTAACTTCCTCATGGGGCCTTCCCAACCCCTAAGGCAGGTCAGCCCCTGCCATGCCCCCACCCTCCACCACTGTTTATACTAAGGTTCCCACCTCGCCCAGGGGATTTTCATCATCCACCTATCTTCTGTAATTCCTTGGTCAGTGCCCGTCTTCCCTCACCACACAGGTACCCCACGGAAGCCACAGGGCTCCAGCTGCCTAGCCTAGCTCCGTGCCTGTCACACGGCAGGTGTTCCATCCACAGCCTTTCTGAAGACGCTGAGAGCCCTCAGCGCATGCTCAGGCTCTGTGTGCATCTCTGCCCGACTGCCGGCTCTCATCACCGCAGCACCCACCTCAGTGCCCGACATGGAAGCCGTACCTGTGGAATACTGGGTGAGGGGATTTATTCATAATTTAGCAGGCTGTGGGCACACCGGCAGATAGGCAATCCGATGAGGCTCTTCACAGAGACAAAGGGTACAAACAATCCCTGCTCCCGTTGACTGAGTATCCTTTGAAAAGGAAGCTAAGGCTTAGAGAGGTTAAGTAACTTGCCCAGGTCACACAGCTAAGCAGTGGGAGAAGAGGGCCTGGAGTTCAGGGCTGGCTAATTCTAAGCCACTGATCTTATGCTCTGTACTGAAATACTTCTCCAAAACACTGAGGGCAGTTCTTTCCCTACCTCCTCTGTATGGTGCTGAGCTCAAGTGCCCCCAGGGGTGGTACCTCCCAGCCAGTGGCGTGGGACTAGCCCGTTCGGTCCCTCACGGCACAGATAATATTCCTGGCCCTGTGTTTATTCCCACTGGGATGATGACTGGGTCCCTTCGGACATCTGTAGGGCTCTTTTCAAGGAGGGCACCCACACTGCTGCCTCCTCCCCGTGCTGCTGGCCATGACCTGGGCCCTGTGTCATTGCTTTGAGCAGCTTCTGTCCCTGGGTCATGCTCGCAGCCCTGTCCCGGGATCATCTGCTTGAGGCAAGGGTGTTCTTTATAAGACCCCCCTGTCGGGCTGGAAAGGGCTTCTGGAGAACAAGGCTATGGAGCTGCCTCTGTTTCTTTCTGAGTGTGCTGACTCTCCCCCATCACTAGACAAGTGCCAAGCTGAAGGGACGGGCTCCTAATCTATCTTCCCATCAACACAGAGGACAGGAGGCCCGTCTCCTCCACACCATCCATGACTCCCCAGTGCTCCTTGCATAGAACACAGGCCCACATGGTCTGGCCCTGTCTCCTCCTTCACACTTTATTTCCTGGCAGGCATCCCTTCTTGGCCTCTTGGCTAAGATCATGTGTAGCATCTATTTGTATTGGTTTAATATTTTCTGGTAGGTAGAGCTATTTGTACTTCTCAAACCCAGCAGGCTGCCTCACACCTCGGGGCTTCTGAACCTCCTTTTCCTTTGCTAGGCCTTCCCTCCTCAGCTCGGTGGCTTGGAAAACAGATGCTCTCTTTCCCTCCAGAAGAGAATCAAGTGTGCAAGGGGGCAGAGCGGACAAGTGCCAGGATTTCAGGGATCGACAGACTCTGTTGGAACCCCAGCCTTGCTGTGTGTCTTTGGGTTACTTAATCTCTCTGATCCTTAATCCCTTCTCTGTCCACTGAAGTTAATAATATCCCATAGGGTTAGGGTGAAGAGAACATGAGCTCCTGAGTGCAAATTCCCCAGCATATAATAAATGCTCAGAAATGGGCAGTTGTAACGTTGTCATCTTGTGCCTTCTGGAGGACTGCAGACAAGAATGCCTTCGAGGGGAGGGCAGGCAAATGTCAAGAAGCACTATGAATATTAATGATAATACTGTGCTGGGCATTCCCTGTCTGCACCCCCCAGATCACTGAGTACCCTGCTCTGTGTCCCCCTCCCCACCCCAGGGAGACCTCAGTGGATTGCTTTGAGCCCCAGGTTCCCTTGCAGGCTGGCTTCTGCCCAGGGAAGGTGCTAGTAGGAGCTCAGAGTTTGGGAAAGAGTCAGGAGGAGAGTTTGGGTATTACTTTTCCACTCCTTCCAGCTCCAAGTCAGCAGCCCCTGCTCCTTGGCTGCAGCCTTCAGTGGGCTCCCTAAGCCCCACTATCCCCTCCCCTCGATCGGGGAAATGGGGGCGCGGCACTCATCAGCCCTAGGAGTTCCTGCTGGTCCCAGGTGCCTCAACATCCCTTAATGCCCTGTAGCCCTGCCCACCCTCTGTCAGGGTCTCTTCACTGAAATGCCTTTGTTGGAATTGAGATGAACTGTTTCCTGGGGGACTTGATGGGTGCGGGCACTCTGCAGATACACACCCTGGGCCACCAGGTACAGAGCCCCGAAGTCTGGGCTCCCCTGGTGCTGGGCTCGGTGGAGCCAGCCCCCGCCCCAACAAGCTGCCACGATGGCACTGGTTTTGAGATCTTTACAAGTCTCTCAGCTAAGCTACAGTTCTCCTGCTTCCCCCTGCCCTCTCTAGATCCTATATGCGCATCACACGTGAACACGGGAGTCAGCCCCACACTCCAGAACAAAACATTCCAGTAGGGCCTGGGGTTTCTGCCATGAGAGGGAAGGACATGTCCCAATTTCAGAGCAGCCAGTCCCCCGGGAGACAGCTCGAAAGCATGTCAGAGCACATCCCACAAGGAGCCAGTACCCAGAGGAGAGGGATGGCTCCCGTGCGAGAATGTCAGCTCTCCAGGCCCCTGCCTCGGGGAGGAGGGGACATTTCACCCATGCATACCTCATGGTCCGGGGCAAAGGCTCTCTGGGCAACTGATCAGACGATTTAAAAGCAAGATGCAAGAAGACAAGGAAAAAGGGGAAAAAGAAGGAATGGTCCTGTGTCTGACCTTCTTAGATTATGTTTCATGCCCTGCAGTGAAAACCCATTTAATTTCTGCATAACTTAGAAAAGGTTTTAAATGGGCCTGGCAAAGAGCCATTCATATACTTAGAAGGGACAAGCCATTGGAGAGAAAAGAATGCTGACTTCCTGCATTTCAGATCCTGGATGCCATGCTCGATCGGGGAAATGGGGGCGCGGCACTCATCAGCACCTACACTGGGGGGCTTTTCCAAGCACCCAGCTGCTGCTTCATGCAAATGTGCAGATGTGTCCCTTTAAAGGTCTACACCTTCCACGTGAGCAGATTTCCTCTATGGGCTTCCGAGTATACTGCAGACAGTAGAACTTGGTGGCTCAGAGCATGGCCTCTGAGTCGGACTCAGTTTGAGTCCGAGCCTTTCTACGTACTGGCTGGAGACCTCAAGCATATGCTGAGCTCCCCTGGTGCTGGAGCTTACTCTTTCAGCCTCAGTTTCCCTGTGTAAAGGAAAACGTAAGAATGGAGCTGTTAACAGTACCTACCCCCAGGGTTGTGAGAAAGAATTACGCGAGACAAGGTGGGGGCACGGGGGGAACTTCTCGCTGAGCCAGGCACTTGGCAATATTGAGCAATACTCAATAAATGGCTGTTGCAATTATTATTATGGTAATAAAATACCATCACAAGCAGCGGGAGATGAGTTCTATTTAAAGGGGGGTATTAAAAACAGCCAATCAATCTCTTTATCATGAACTTAGACAAATGGGCATTTTAAAATTCAGAAAGAGACTGTCTCTGTTGATTAGTTCATGGCTGCTGCAGAGGGGTTCAGGGTGGGAGAACTTCGGGAGACCCTCCCCAGGGGGATTGGGGGGCCTGAGGAAGGCATGGGAGGGGCGCCTGGAGGCAGCTCCTGAACATGGAGGCCAGGCCTGACCGTGCACCGCTCAGGGATGGTTTGAGTGTCGGAGCAGGAAGGAGCCTTGGGGATTATCTAGTCCTGTCTCCCCAGATTACTGATGATAAGAGTGAGGGGCTGTGCCTGGCTCTAGGTCTCCCAGGCGGTGAAAGGCAGAGCCACGACCTCAAATATAATGCCTTGCCTTATATATAGCACTTTCTTCACGCCACCCATAGATGTTAACCACTGCCTCCCTGCCCACACTTTTCCCAAGTAAAGATGCTCTTTACACCCACAGTTCTGGGCGGCCAAGTTTGTACCAAGTGACTTCAGACCTAGGCCACATCTGAGGTAATCACCTGACTCAAATGGGCCAATCAGATGGGGCCTGGCCCCGTTAAATCCATTTTCTGCAGAACCTGAAAAAGAAGGTTCTTGCTATCTGGTTAGGGCTGGAGTGGGCACCATGGCAAGCCGAGCGCCACACAGAAGCCACCATTTCCGGGGTGGCAGAGAAGCCATGGGTGGGCCGAGGAAGCCCAGCTGCAGTGACAGTTAATGGAGCACAGTGAGGGAGAAAAGCAGAGACACACGCCTCTGAGGGCCTCCCCTGCCCTGGTCTTCACAGGCCCTGTCTGAACTTCGCTTCCTGCCCCTGGCTGTGGTGCAGAGACCCCATGTGGGCT